TTTATTGGTCTAGATGGATGTTTCTTGGAAGGTTGGGGACACTTATTGTGTGATGTTGGTAGGGATGGCAACAATAACTTTTATCCAATTACAATCGGTTGTGTTGAGGCAGAATTTAAGGACTCTTGAGAATGGTTCTTAGATGAATTGATGTGGTTAGTTGGCAATTATCATAAGTACATATTTATCTCAGATTGACAGAAGGTATAGATGTTTATCTTTGAATGTATATGGTCATTTATTATCTTATTTTAATGTTTTATATATTTACAATATTTTGTTCTAAATTTTCAGGGTCTACTTGAGGTATTTGAGCATAAATATCCTGGAGCAGATATTAGATTTTGTATTAAACACACGTATGATAATTTCAAGCAGAAATACAGAGGCAGGATACTAAGGACCATATTCTGGAATGCATCCACGGGTAACACAAAATTTGATTTTGTGCTACATATGTAAGAGATGAAGGCAGTTAACAAGGATGCACATGACTAGTTAATAAAGATTCTTTTAAAGGTCTGGGCAAGGTCAGCATACACTATAAAGAGTAGGAAAAATCTATGTGTAAATAACATGGAAGGCAAGGGAAAAGCCTTTAATTTACATGTTTGAGAAGATCAGAAAACAATTGATGCTAAGGTATCAAAGCAATAGAGAGACGATGGATAAGGTTAAGGGACTGTTGTGTCCAAAAATTAAAGAGAAATTAGATAAAATTTCTGAAGTTGTAAGAAGACTGCACGTGAGTTATACAGGAAATGACAAGTATGAGGTGGAAAACATGACATGGAATGAAGTTGGGGTTAGTGATTATGTGAATCTTGCTACAAGAACTTGTACATATAAGTATTGTGACATAACTGGCATACCTTGCAAACATGCAGTGGCAGCAATTTTGGATAAGAGGTTTGATCTAGAACTGTTTGTTAACCCTTAGTACTATAGAGAGACATACTTCAAGTCTTATAGATATGTCATAACTCCAATGTCTTTGAGGAATATGAAAAGAGAAGTTGGTACTGCACCAATATTGCCACCACTTCATAGGACTAGACTTGGAAGACCTAAAAAGAACAGGAAAAGAGGTCTAGATGAGGGTCCTTCAAAAGGTCCAGTGGTGAAGAGGTCAAAATTGAGATGCACTAAATTTCTTGTCATGGGTCATAATGTAAAGACTTGTAAAGCACCTAAGCATGTTAGAAGACCACCAATAATAAGAGGTATAGGTGGTGTAGGTGATGGTAGGAATGTGAGAAATTCTACTACAGAAGGTAGGAGAGCTGCTAACAGAGGTGGTGGGAGAGGTGATGTAAGAGCTAACAGAGGTGGTGGGAGAGTTAACTGAGGTAGACAAGGAGCTAGGGTGGTATAGATGATAGAGATGTTACTAGAGGTGGTGGTGTTCACATAGGTGGTGGTGGTAGACCTGCTATAGGTGGTGGCAGTGGTGGCAGAGTTGCTAGAGGTGGTGGCAGTGGTAGCAGTGCTGCTAGAGGTGGTGGCATTGGTGGCAAAGCTACTAGAGGTTGTGGGTAGAACGGGTAAGAGACCTGTTGTACTTCATTCAGAGGTAAAAATTATAATTTATTATTTCATATTTATTATACATTATAAACACATGTATGTTGACATTTATTGCTTTATTTAATAGCCATCAACATCTACCCAACATTATGGTCTAAATGGAAGAGCTGTTGTTGGTCATTCAAAGGTATTATTATTGAATCTCTTATTATTTTCTTTTAGGTTACATTAAACAAAACAAAACTAACACAAACTTCAATCCATTGAATAGACATCAACATCCAACCAATATCAAATGGTTCATATGGACTTTCCATCCACACTTAACACACAATAATGATGACATGTTGATGAAAATGGTGGCAAATTTTTTGTGCAGCTTTTTTTATGGACAAAGTGAAGATTTTGAAGAAATGGTTGACTGTATATAACTATTTTCTTATGTGTTTTATTGTAAAGCTCAGTAATGACAGTGGTGAGTTTATTTTGGACAGTGGTGGGTTTTTTGTATTAATGGTGTAATGTAGATGGTTTATTTTGGACAGTAGTGGGTTTTTGTATTAATAGTGTAATGTGGGTGGTTTATTTTGGACAGTGGTGAGTTTTTGTATTAATGGTGTAATGACAGTGGATAGTTTATTTTGGACAATGGTGGCTTATTTTGGATAGTGGATGGTTTTTTTTGACAATGCATGGCAATATATGTATGGCTATAATGAAGGTGTTGGTTTGAATATATAAGGATAATGTTTTTTTGGGAAATTATATGTGCATGTGTTATGTATGTTTTCACAAGATTTATGACAATGTATGTATGCTATAGGGTTTGTATGTTTTCACAAGATTTATGACAATATATGTATGCTATAGGGTTTGTATGTTTTCACAAGATTCTACCATTTTTGGCACATTTATTATGGTCCAATGCACTTTTTCTCAACATGCACTTTTCCTCAAAATGCAACTTTTCCTCAAATGCACAATGCACTTAAAATGTAACTTTACTCATGCACTTATCACTTTGATTTTGTTCATACAACTTTCCCTCAAATGCACTTTTCCTCTTCAATTTTTTCACTTACATTTTGTTCATACAATTCAAAATACACATAAACACAAGACAAGAACACTTTCAATTCTACAATTTCACTTCAAAATATACTTTTACTTATGCACTTGACAATTCAGAAAATGTATTGCATACACTCTTCATAGGGCATCAAAATACATTTTGCATACACACAGGCTCATATTAAAACCAACTCACTACTTTCTTCCTAAAGCTATCAAACATGCAACACCAGAAAACATAAAAAATGCTACAACTAATTGCTTCAGATTTTTTTTTTTTTTTTTTGATTTCTTCCATACTTTTTCCCATGGCGTCCAAACGGGAACTAACTGTATCATACCGGAACTTCAATTTAGCAAATGCTAGCATTGTACAAATCGGATCACACCACGCCCATAAAGAGTATTTTTTTTGTACCACAAGAATAATATTTCTTCCCTTTGTTGTTATACTCATCTGAACCTCTCACTCTCACAATAGTTAGATAGCCACAACCACATATTATGCTGTTATACCTGAAATCTTGCCGATTAACAGATTGTGTGGTGGAAGAAGATATTTGGGCTTCGACTGATTGTGGTTTAGGACTTCAAATAATCCTTTTAGGGCAGACACTGGTTGCGATTTAGGGCTTCAAATCATCAATTGGGGACTTCAATAGATCAATTAGGGCTTTAAATCATCAATTGGGGGGACTTTAATCGATCAAATGTCTTCTGTTACTATTGCTATGGAGGAATCCTCAAACCACTTAAACAACAGATAAGAAGAAGAGAAGAGAGAAGAAAAGAAGATACCTGAGATCTTACTGCCGATTACTGCTATGCTATGGAGAAATCCTCACACCAATTCAATGAGAGAGAATAAGAAGAAGATAACAAAACTTAACTAAATGATAGTTTATGTAGTTGAGGGGGTTAGTTGGATAACAAAACAGAAGGGTAATTTCGTCATTTCAAGAGAACAAGGTATTTTGGTCATTATATTGGAGTATATGGTGCACGTGATAAAAAGACGTTAATTTTAGACGGTCAACTAACGGGGAGAGGGTGATATGATATATCTTTAAAAACATGAAATGGTATTATGATAGATTCTGTAGTTGAGGGGGTTAGTAGATAGTTTTTTTTTTTTATAAACAACAGAAGTTTTAAGTTTTTAGCCCTAATAAAAATTTCATTTCAAAATGCTTTTAAATAAACGTGTTTAAGTCCCTAAATTAATTTTGATATGAAATTCTGATACAACAATTAAGAGCCCAATCTGCACTTGTGCCCCAATCTCACGAGAAAAACTTGTGTGTGCCGACCTTATGATGCACCTCACTCACAAAACAAGTGAACCCACCCACCATAAACAAGTTTTTCTCGTGAGATTGGGGCACAAGTGCAGATTGGGCTCTTAATTGTTGTATCAGAAAGATTATGACAAGGATACATGCTAGTGGGAGATTTAATGATAAAAAAATAAAATAAAATAAAAATTCAAATCCAATCATGCAAATCTCGTGTAGCTCCATGGTCCCAACCATCAATTCCACATGTGCATTATTTTAATTTTACCTCATAACTCACAAGTAACTAATAATTTTACCTCACAAATAACTTATACTCACTTGTTCTTATAAAAATTACTCTCTTCAAATACACACTCGGTTTTTTTTTTTTTTTTTTTTTCATCATCAAATACACATTCAGTTCTGGAAGTTAAACACTCTACCAATTAGGCTAATTGATAATTATGAGAAATGATTATCATTCAAATGATATGATTTTCAAAAAGAGGTTGGTTGTTTTAATTTTATTAGAGGAAATATTGTGAGTAAGTGTTTTCTTGAACTTTTTGAAAAATTAAAAAAATTAAATGTAAAAGAGATATATGGCTAGTTTGTAAGTGCACTGTTAATTTTTTATTTTATTTTTATAAATAGATAAAAAAATAATAGGGACAATTATACTTACTGTAGATTGTCTAAATGATATGAATCTTTTTTATAGTTTTAGAAATAACATTGACCTTCCTTGTCAGAATTGACTTTGACTCGAATTTGTTAAATGATTATTATAATTATTGTAATTTTGCATTATAATATATGGGCAAAATAGTCTTTTCAAGCCTTTTAAGGGTATTTCTAGATTTTAAATAAATTTTGAGCATGACATAAACAAATAAAAGTGTCAGATTTTACAAAAAAATGGGAGGTTAGTTATATATTTGAAATTAGAGAGGAGTTCCTGTTATTTGTTAATCTGTAGAGGAGGTAAGTGTAATCAATGTACACGACTTTGAACTATCCCATCTTGTCCTTTTTCAAAACTATCGGACGCCATCTTAATATTCCAATCCAGTTTCGGATTTTCGTGACGTCCACGGTCTCTCGACGTATACACATGTGTATCGATCTCGCTTACTTTAAAGGGCCCAATTTTCTTATTTCGCGCAATTGTTTTTCTTTTTCCTTTTTGGATTTCATTTTAGACAGAGAGAGGAGAGAGAGAGAGAGTGAGCGAGAGAGCGGGAAGCTCTGAAGGTTTCGAAAATGGCGAGCGGAGCAGTGAGAGAAGAGATGGGGACGAACAATCAGGAGAAACGAGACGACGTCGTAGCTATAGATCTTCCAGCTCCCGATGGCTGGAGGAAGAAGGTTTGAGCCCTCTCTCTCCCTCCTCTGTTCTCGATTTCTAATCTCTTTTCACAAATTTGTTTCCCCAATTTGCTGTTCGAATTGGTTAATTACATGTCATTCATACGTATTTTGCTTCATTTGTCGCTTAATTTGTTTTTTTTATTGAGGCTAGGGCTTTTCGGTAGAGGTCTCTGAATGTTTGGAACTACTTAGTGTATTTATTAGTGTATAAAATCTTGTATATAGTTTAATTCTTGCATTTTTGTACCGTATAATTTTGGTGCATTTTCTTGGAGAATTTCAAATTTTATACACGTTGATTCACTGACCTTTCTGATGTATTTATTATTCTGCTTCTTAGGGTTTTTTTCTTGTAATTTATTTATTTTATTATTATTTTTTTTTATGTAGGTTTTATGTGCTTGTGTCTAATTGTGTTGGCTTATTAAGGTAGTCCATATTGAGGGATAGGTAACTTGCTCGTTGTGATATGATAGTTGACAGAGCTTGGGTTGATATTTTCTTTCTTGCGTTATTCCAGCCTAAATTGCATAAGGATTGATTTCCAAGCATAAAACTACTACCTAGTACAAACCAAGTTGACTGATTCTTATGAAGAAAACTGGTTAAATTCCTCATTAGTGATGGTTATTTTGGTCAATTTTGTTACTACAATAGTGACAGTATTTAGCTTGGGAAATTTTCTTGTTACATAAATTATCAAAGCAAGATGATACAAGAATCCACTATCTAAAGTAAAATGGTAAATCCGGTGGCTTAGATATATATATATGAAAAGTAAAATATGAGTAAATTAGCTTAGCTCTTAATGAGAGTAGCCACTCTTTATATATACACACTAAATGAGTACATCAAGCCTTAACATAAGGAGTACATCAAGTCTTAACATAAGGACAAATAAAAGAAAGATAAAAATAAAGTCTGATTTCCTGCAATATGTTTCAACAGGTTTCTTCTAGACAACTAGTTCAAGAGCTTGGCATATTTTACAAAGAAAATAAATGGAATATTTTCCAAGTTTGTGAATCATTTAGGCATGTACTTGGGTCTGGTTGGTGATAATACTCTTATGGCGGCTTTGTGGTGCATTCATATTCATTAATCTTGATTTGAGGTTGAGCCGCTTTGTTCATTTTTCGTCCTTCTGTGTTCAGTGGAATTAGGAAAAGACTATATGGAACTTAAGATTTATGCATCTATTGATTTGAAAAAGTTTTATTATTAAACATTATCAAGGAAAAAAGAATCTTTAAGCTTTGTTGGAAACTTGACCAGGATTTCTGGAAAAACTTGTGTCTAATTTGAATAGCTAAACCAACTTTCATCATACTAAATATTTAACCAATTTACATATCTGGAAAGAACACTGTTGCTTGGTGCTAATAATAACTTAGTTTGACAGGAGCAAAATTGCAATTCCATTGCAATTCCAAGGAAGCTAATGTGTTTGAAAAAAGCTTTATAATAGGTTCATAATCCGCCGCACCCATCTTCGTGCATTGATGGGAATCGAAACCATCATTATTTGAGCGCCTTTCCATGAAATATTTTTACTTATCCAAAAAAAAAATTCTTAATTTTTTTTTTTACTTTCTTCTAGATACAATGATATATACTTGTATGGATCCTTAATTCTAAAAGGCAATAATGTACACACATATAAGATCTTAAAATTTTCTCTTCATTTGGGGTTCTTGCATGGGCCAAATACGGAATTATGTTTTATATGCTGCTGCATGGATGATACATTATGGTGACAGTTGCACTAACATGCAACCAGGAACGGCGTGTATAAACACATACCATCTTGTGTCTCATTGTTAACAATGGTTATTTATACCACTGATGGGAAATTTTTTCCGCATGTATTCTTATTCCCTATAAAAGCTATTCTATGATTATCTCTTTCAATTTCTAATTAATATAATTCCTTTTCTGTTTTTTCTTTTTATTTATTTATTTATTTTTATTTATATTATTATTATTACCTTTAAAGGCTTGCATGTTCCATTTAATATTGATATCTAGAATATGGTTATTTTTTATTTTTTTTTCTTGGATAAGTGGAAAATTTATAGATAAAACATTAATGTACATGGATACAAACAAGGGCATCCCCTTTTAGAGAGCAAGCTGGAAAGAAGAAAAATAAAAACATTAAAATAGCACAGCACAGCAACAGGAGAGACTGTCTCTCAAAATAGAAGATCAAGATAAGCATCAGCAAGATCAACAATATGCCACCAAGCAGACCTAGCCAAATCCTCTGCAACCTTTGATTTGTTGTGTTGGAGTCTCGTGTTCGTCTCTGTACAAAGGTGCCAAATAACTGAGGAGAAAACCAAATTCTGATATCTCTGTTTGGAAATTTAAGCAATAAACCGATTGGTTAATTGCTGAAGATTATAGCAAATAGGAATATTCCATGACAGCAAGTCTGAAAACCATATCCAAACAGACCAAAAGATGATCAAGATCATCGGAAGAAGACCAACAATTATGACAGATAGACACTAAGGTGATGCCTTTCCTCTTCAAGTTTTTATAGCAGAACAATCTGTTCTGAATTGCCAAACAGGTAGATATTGATGCTCTTGGCCTACCACCACTCCAACAAACCTTGAACCAAGAAACTGAATCTTGACGAGCTCTACAAGTGTCCCAGGCAGATTTGAATGTGAAAAGACCATGATTCCATTTAATACGAATTCTAATTAATATAATTCTTTTTTTTTGTTCTTTATTACCTTTAAATGCTCAGCTCACATGTTTCATTTAGTATGTATATTTAGAATTTTTTAGGACTTACATTATATAATATATATGAATAGGTAAAGACATAAGAACAATAATTGTGTATTGTAGGTGGGGTGTTCATATGTCAAGTGTTACAACTAGACAAGTTCATTCTGTTTCACAGGATAGACCTACTCTTGCTTATCATAAGTGCTGAAATAATAGTGATTAGATGATTTTGAACCATGGCTCTGATGATATACTCTATTACACAGTACAACAATGCGACACATGGGTTCAAAGCCATTTGGGATTTATGACTGTATATTCCCTGTGTAATCTTAGATAGGAAAGAATGGACAAAAATTTTCTTACACTGTTCTTTTAATGGGATTTGGTGAAGTACATTTCCTAAATCGTGGGGATAATTCAAATTGCTGGAGGCACATTATTTAGTGTTCCCACCAAACAAAATCCTGTCCATTTGGTGTCATGGTAGGCTTCTGTCTTCCAAATGTTCCAAATTACTTGAATCTTTGTAAGTCCACTGATAAAAAAACCTGTTATTCTTATGCCATGGTGGTTGAACGTTTGACTCTTAATTTATTCTCCTCCTTTGTACACAACTAATATGCTTTGAATATTTTTTCCCATCCAAAGTTTTTAACCGTACACCACATCAAATGTAAAATTCTTTCTAACAGCAGCTTTACTCATTCTCAACTCCAAAAGGAACCTCAGCTAAGTAGATTGTCTCAGGAGTGGTATAATTTGTAGTCTTCACAGCTTGTCTTAATTTTATCTGCAGTATGTTGCCAGTTTTGGGGATCAAGGAATTTCTTGGAGTCTCAGGGAATTGTGATATTCCCTTCCTGTCCTGATTGTCTCAGAAATTATTAATTCTGATAGTGTTGTCGTTCAGGACTTATTAGGGCTTTGGATAAATAATCAATTTTGGCTGGGATGGACAAGGCAGTTTTCAACTACTTCCTTCATCTCCTTCAATCATATGTTTTGTAGTGTCTTCGACTCGTCATAGCTTATCTTAATTTTATCTGGAGTAACCCCAAGGGGATGGCTGAAATGGGTAAGTTACTTGGCCTTGGTGCCTCAGGAAGCATCAGGTTTGAGGTTCGACTCCTCTTGGGTGCAAACAATTCCTTGGAGTGGGGTGTGTGAGTACCAACTAGGAAAAAAAAGAAAAAATTTCTTAGGGGCTCAGGGAATTGTGAACTTCACTTTTTGTCTTGATTGCCTCAGAAATTATTAATTCTGATAGTGTTTGTCATTTAGGACTTCTTAGGGCTTTGGATAAATAATCAATTTTGGCTAGGACAAGGCAGTTTTAAGCTACTTTCTTTATCTCCTTCAATCATATATTTTGATATCTGTTGAAGGATATAAATATTAAAGTTACACCCTCTCCAACAGCTTAAGCTTTTGGAGTAGATGGTTGTTAACATGGTATCAAAGCCAAAGGTCTAGAGTTCAAACCTCGCCGTCACCCTAATTTAAAAATTGAGAAAGCACGTGTTGGACCAAAAGAAGGCCACATGTGAGGGGGGCGTGTTGAAGGATATAAATATTAAAGTTACACCTTCTCCAACAGCTTAAGCTTTTGGAGTAGATGGTTGTTAACAATATCTAAGGAATTAATAAAATTACTATGTACTAACTTTAAGACTTCAATCTATGTAGCCCATTACAAATTAGAGTTGTAACCTTGGGCTGGTCAATTTGAGAATTAAAACAATGCGTACCTTCATTAATTGGTTTGGTTTGATTATACAAAGTAACAAATCACTTGGTTGGGTCATGAGTTTTTTGAAGAAAGAATTGACTAATGACCTGTTGGTAAACCAGAGCAACTAAAGAATCGACTCCTATGTGAAATATATATGTTTTATTTATTTATGAATTTGTAAAAGGTCTTCCAGAGCAACTGGAGAATTGACTTCTATGTGATAAATAAATGTTTCATTTATATGAAAATTTATTTTTCTAATACAATGTACATAATGTAATGTAACATATAATTGTGTAGAATTAATCACAGGTCTTTCTGTGGAGAATAAGTGTCGGATTGTTCGTATCCTCATCCATTTTTTGGAATTTTTGGGCTGTTAATGGCTAACAAACAGAAATGAATGCTGCCAAAAATACAGCAATAAAATAATTTTTCCACATATTCAGTTTTGCCGTGTTTACTAGTCTTTTGTGGGTTGATTGGAATCCTGATTTAAAGGAAAATTTTCATCAGC